AACACAATCAAGCTTAAGGGAAGTGCCACTACAGATATTTCCACACAAATGGCCTACAAGTGTCCCCAGAAGCACACTTGAAAGAGGTAAGGATAGATGTCAGGGAGACAACGTGGCTCCACAAGCACTATTAACACCACTCATTACTGTAACATGGATGAATGAACACACAGCAGATCTGGGGCCAATGCAGTCACAAAACATACCGTTGATCAGGAAGAAGAAAGCCCCTGTTTCGTTGGCCACTGCTCGGGCAATCAGTGTTTTACCAGTGCCAGGGGGACCATACAGCAGGATCCCACGGGGAGGCTGAAGACAAAGGCAAGGGACTTAGATAGTGAGCTAGTACTTGAATGCTTAAGTAGCTTCACAGTGAAACTGTAAGCATTTGATAAAACCAGTCCAAAATTGTGATAAACGCTCATGCAACAGCTGTCATTCCAGCATTGCTATCAACACCCTTACTACTTTGCATGACACACAAAGAAAAACCTTGCCAGTAACTGACGGCGCGGATTCAAAACATCACTCCACTTTACAAGTTGCCAATACTCTAATCTGTGTCCAGAACATGTAAGGAAATACTTTCAGCATTAAAAAAAAAAACCCAACAACCAAAACCCACAAATTACTTATGCCCAACACCAATGCCTCATAAACCTCCAAGGTGAAGAGTCACCTGCAAAGGGAAGTCCACTCATCCCCCTGGTGCACACGAGGACTTACCTTCACCCCTATGGCCTTGAAGAGCGCAGGGTGTCGGAGGGGAAGTTCCACCATCTCTTTGATTTGAGCCAGCTGCTTCCGGCAGCCACCAATGTCATCATAGCCCACTTCATTCAGTGACTCCTCTTCATCCTATCCGGAAGGAAATACATTAAACATTTCAGTGAAAACAATAGTTCAACAACTCCTCCCAGTCAGGAATCTGGGTTTTTGCTCACAGTCATTTCTTTGCTGTCTTGAGATTCTCACTTTTAAGTCTTCCTAGTGTCTTCTACAACTGTTTTTTAGTTCTGTCTTCCCAGACATATAAAGGGAATTGCCTGCATGTACTTAGACCTCACTGAAGTGCACCCTTTTCAATCACAGCCTCTGCTGCCAGGTTCCCTACAGATTCTAGCACAAAACAAGCTCTGTGACTCTCTGATGAGACTAACAAAGACAACAATAGACAATGAAGCTCAGTATAAAATATACTTATTCCTTAAATTGTAAGCGATTTCTCTAACTACCTGATGTACTTTAGCTATCACACAGTTCTCAGATGTAGTGTTGTCTTTTGGGATTGACTCAGATAAAGTTAAGATCCAGGTGCTATACTCTCCCAGTATAGCTCTACAGCATCCATTTATTTGGCTGTCCAAATCTCTTCGGGCTTGGTTATCTGTAACATTAGGCCACACTAAAATAGTAACACAGCCTGGAATATCAGAGGGGCTCAGTGCAAGTTCCACAAATGAGAAATACTACCTCAAGTAGGTCACAGGGTCTGGCCCTATCAAACACTGAAGGTCTCCAGGTTTGGAGACTACTGCCTTCTCTGGGCTCCACTCCAGGGTTGGGGGAAACCTTTTTCCTAGCATCTACTGGGAATTTCCCTTGATCCAGCTTATGCCACTGCCTCTAGTCCTGTCCCTGGGCACAGCTCTCAGAACGAGCCTGGTCATCTACCCCAGTTGCCAGTAAACCTGGCCCTTTGCCTTCCTTTCTTCAGGCTGCATCATCCCACTCTCCCACTTCATTCATTCTGAGCTCCAGCTTCTCATCATTTTGGTGGCCTTGGCTGAAGTTGCTCCTGTCTCTACTGTGTCCTGAAGAGCCCAAACTGGACTCATGGGGTGCCCAGATGCAGTCTCACAAGTGTCACAGAGGTGACTTTATTCAGAGGGCAGCTAACTACAAATCAGCACCCACCCTGTTTAGCAGGCAGTAAAGAGACACTCGCTTTATTAAGTATGCAACCACCTTAGCTGATTTCTCTAAAATCTCCTACTCTGTAACAGTAAGATGACCAAGACCTCACAGACAATCCACTCAGCTGCCTCAAGCTTGGGACACTCAAGGTTAGACACATAAGGGACTGGGAAAATTATTTTTTAAAAGTTAACGATTTTAGAATGTCCTGGTTCAACTAGGATAGTGTTAAGTTTCTCCAGCAGAGAGAGAGGGGGAAGGGATCTCCAGCCGGGTTATTCATACCATGCTGACATCAGGTCCAGGGGTGGAAACTTTTTTTACTTTCTCTTTGGCTTTTTGGTGGCGGGGAGCTGCTCCGTGACCATTTGCGGTATTTCTCTGTATATCTTTTGTCTTGTTCACTGTTATTGCTGTTTATTGTTGTTATAATTGCCACTGTTGTTGTTCAGATTGTTTATTACACCGTTGTATTAAATTTCTTCTCATTTTAACCCGGGGTTTGTGCCTCACTTCCAGCCTGACCGGCTGAGGGTGGGGGAGGGACAACAGCAACATGCTCTCCGGTCCCGGTAGGGCTTAAACCACCACATAGGATTTTAAATTTCTCACTGAAAAAAGCACTAGTTGCTTTCTTTTCATGTGGCATGAAATTCAGCAACGTTGTAAGCTCTCCCTGCTATAGATCAAGGGAATTTGGGAATTAAAAGATGCATTTAAGTCTAGTATGAGATATCTGGAAGCAGATGCAAAACCAGCTGCTGGCAAAGTATGGCATCTCATCAACAAACGTACACACTCGCACTATCTCAGCGTATGAGGAAGGACACTGGAAATATCTTTCTCTGACTACCTTCAGCAGCAGCTCATCTGAAACAGGAGTTTCTAACCATTACATTCAATACACAAAATGCCAAAACAGGAACTGCAAACGCTGCTGCTCTCGAGCAAAAACAGATTTGGAACAGAGGGGATTCACTAGGAAATCTGTGTGGCAGGATTCTGCTCACCTCTCGTTTGATGGGCTCTCCTTCACAATGGATCACTGTGTCCGGAGCCACTATGCAGTATGGACTTGGATCTGTCTCCACCACTTTGAACTCCACTGCACGCATCCCTCCACGCACCAAGAAGATGTCACCTGTAAAACTCCACACTTCAGTAGCCTGCTGCAACGCTGCAAAATGTCAACCCTTGTACTACCAGCAATCCCAGAGGACAAGGAAGTGGGTTACACAGGCATACGCTGCTGGCATTTGTAACACTGCTCTGCATTTTGAACTCCAGAGCTGCACCTACTGTGACTACCCAAGCACCATTTAGATTGCAGCAGTTAAGGTTCTCAAATTTCATCCCGTAACAAACAGCAAACAAAACCAGCAAACAATAGAAAAGAATACTGTGCCTAAATACAAAATACAAAGGCAAGGAATCACATTTCTTTCCCACTCAGTTTCAATTTAACATTTCTAAACCACGCAAAAAGCCCTAACAATAAAAATTAATTTTGGAGTTATAACTAGTAACAACTAGTTATAATAACTGGCTGCCTCCAGAAGGAAAATAATTTATAAATGCACTATGACTCCTGGCTAAACTGGGCTATAGAAGGGGGATAACTTCAACTGGTGTTTACAGGGCATTAGGACCTGTTTGTTTCAGCAGAAGCACTACTAGCACAACTCCTGAAGTGCATTTGGTTTCCTATGCTTTCTCCCAGTTGTTAATTAAATTACTTTGAAGAAGTTAATTTAGTTAGGGTGTCAGCTGATATAACCAACCAATCGATTAATATGCAGGCAACTCCCTAATTCCATCAAGCGGTAGCAACTTAGAACTTGGCAGAAAATCTCATTAAACTATCTGAGCCTTTTGTGATACTCTCCCATTTCATGTAGCAAAAAAACCACAGAACTATCAAGCTGCTCTGCCAGCCAGCAGCAATCACCCTTTCTTCTGAAGATTATGAAAAAATTAAACCAGCACCAGGAAAATCTCACTCTATAGATGTCAGTCTAATGCTTTGCAGAGATCTGTGCAAGATTCTAGAAATTCTCTTTATTTGGTCTCAGGACTTGCTCACACTTGCTGCCATCAGGACTTCAATAACAGGCACTATTACCTTTCCTGATGGGTCTGTATGCTTCCAGGAAGTACGGCTTGAGATAGACTTCAAACAGATTCCCCGTGATCCCTTCTACTGTGTCATCAATTGGTAGCACATGGATACGTTTGCCATATTTCACATCTGGGCAAGGCTGGATGCTGCAACACAAGAAAACTCCAGTTAGCCACATCATGCTGGACCTACCTCCGCACCTGGAAAAGGCTGTGCTGTCCCTTCCCAGACCAGTACAAATGCTGGAAACAGCCCTCCGAAGTCCTGGCAACACTTCTCACCTGCAGAAGAACATTTCAGTGCTGACAAGGTATAAATCAGGCCCATCAAGAGCTACTCTTCACTACACATTCTTTTCTTCACTCCTCCCAGCCCCACTCAAGACCACTGGGGAGTTTCATACTTTCTTCCTAACCCCCTGCTCTTCTGTAGGACCTCTTGCCATCCCCAAGGCACATTCACAAGTTACTAATGCAGCCCAAAGACCTGCGAGAGTCGCAAACTAACTTCTGTTTCAACAACAAGCTGCTGCTGAACAAGCTGCAAGACAAAGGGAGTTAGGAGAAGCTCTTTGTTCCTTCTTCTCTCTGCAGAAAACAGAGGCCCTGTTGCTGAGAACCCCAATTCTGAGCAAAGCTCTCATAGTACCAACCAGGGGTAACCAGCATGCAGCCAGGCATCTGCCAGTCCCGCTTTGTAGAGGCTGACATTTAGGTTAAAGTCCAAAAGCCCCTTCCTCCTTTTTAAACAAACACTACAGTTATTACTTTGCAGTGTAGGACAACAGCCTACTGTAGAAATAGCTCAGAGCATCAAGCTGTGGCAGAAAGCTAAAACTGGCTTTGCCAGCTAAGAAAAGCCTACGTGGAACTGCAGCTGAGCATGCAACTGTCCATACATGACTTTGCTCAAGATTCTTAATAGATTCTTTACCACATCCTTTACAGAGAGGATACAGCAGAAGGATAAAGAAAAAGACAGAGTGTTGCAGAAGGAAAACAGCTGACAGACTCCAAGCAGGAAGTGATTAGCACATGAATCTGGATTTTGGCAGAAACCAGGCTACAGAAAGTAACACAATAACCAGTGAAAGATCAGCAAGAAAAATTTTGAGGTCAAGAGCTGTGAAATTCTCTGACCCTCACAACGAAGCTAAGACAATTGGTAACACGTCTGGGAGGCTGAGAACCACAACAGACACACTCCCAGCAGAGAAGGGGAGAGCACAGGCTGAACTGCTATACTAGAAAGTACTCCCAACAGTAACCTCACATCAAGTTATAAAGTTAGGATTCACCTTTATTTTAAATCCACAGACTGGCAAAGTCCTGTTCTGTTCCAACCATGACGGTGTTTAAAACTTGCATTTTGTAGTGGTACAGGTATGGATGGAACAACCTAATTTCTCTCCTCCTTTCTCTCCAAAGTTTGTATGAAACACATTTTGCATTTAAAGATTATTCCATATGTCACTTCAGAAAGTCTAGTGTCAGAATCTAGGCTCCAATTTTTCCACAACATGCAGGATATTTCAGATTAGGATGATGCTCAGGAGAATGAGCTGTTAGTCCTCCCATATTTAAGTCTGCAAACTAGCATTTTTATGTTTAAGAAATGTTCATGTGCTTCCCCATCCAGTCCCATCACAGAATGGAACCTGTCTAAGCATTCTCAATTTTTAAGTTATTTTTATAACAAACATCAGAATATAAACATCCTTCAGGGATTTTTAATCTTGGTATTATTGACTGCTTTATGCTTTTCCCACTCATTTCTAGCAAGCTTTAAATTCTGTTTGCCATAGGGCAGCTCAGATACTATGAGATCAACTACAGTGTTGCTTAATGCCTTCCAGTTAGAGAAAAGTTTGAGAGTTCACCTGACATTGTAAATTTGGGAAGATGACTGTGACAATGGAGGTATAAATGAATCACTCAATTTAATGACAGGACCTGTGCTCGTGAAGGTCCTGAAGAGACTCCGAGAATCTTTAGCATCATTTTTTAGTATCAATCTGAACATGCAAACAGCCAGAAACACACGCAAAAGTAAATGGGGATCCCTGACGTGAAACACACATGAAAACATTTCTGTGATCTCCTCTGAAAGGTGTAAGGATACATCCTGCAGGCCCTGCCTCTGCTACTGACTCAATCAATTCAGAGACAGCAACTCAAAGACATGCAACAGTTAGCAAATGAGTCCTCACCTGATCACATCACCCAGGCGCACTCTCAGGTTGTTGCGAACAACCCTATTCATGCGAATCTTCTCATCTGAACAGGTGTCATCTGACAGAACAATGCAGACTGCTTCTCTTCTCTTCTTTCCTTTTAGCAGGACAGTATCTCCTCTGAACAGCTGCAATTCGTCCATTTTTGCCTGTAAACAATAACAGCATTAGAAGCAGCTTTTGCAAAACAGAAATTCGAGCATCTGAAGGAGAGTTACTTGACTTTGGAGAATTACATCTTGGAAGCAATATACTAAATCCACAAGGACAGTGGCTCTCAATATGCTGGTCAAGAAGCTGGACTAAGTGCACAAGCTCAACTAAATCCTAGAAATTGGGATCAAAATACATTTCACGTATCACTAAAGAGCATTACGAAACAAGATAACCCTTCCTCGCTCATAACAGCTGCTGCTTCTGACACAAATACTTACGTTCATGTTGCGAAGTTACATTTCAACTTAATATGCAGCAACAGCTTGCAAATTACCAGATTAAATCCTTTGCTTTTATAGATGACACACCTGGGACAGTGACACAACACTGTTGTCTTCATTGATGGCTTCATCAACAATTAACCGATTCGGCCTGTTCTTCTGCTTCAGAATAGCAGTCGATAAGTCATCAGCTTTAGAACTGGTGAAGAAAACAGAAGTTATGAGCCTGAGTGATACTGCTCCCCCCTTTCAGCCACTCCTCTCTTTTCATCTTCATTTTCTACAGGTTTCATTGTTATCTTGTCTTTTAGGAACTATACTTGTTTGTAAGACAAAGGAGAACGTTCTTCTCAGGCACCAGTTGCAAGAGTTCAAAGCACATTTTCTGTCCGGAAATATAACTACTTTCCTAGCTACAAATGGAAATAGCTATGAAGCTATATATGAAAAGAAGTGGTCAGTGAGATGTTGCTGACTGTAAGATGTTTTGCCTAAAAGAATTAGTCAGACTCATCTGAAATCACATGTAACCACTGCCACCGAAACAAAAGTTCAAGTCTATTTGGTGTCAAATCCTGGATAAATAGGGGAATTAAAGGACAATGCTGCAGCCCCCCTGACAGGAAGAGTTTTAAGAGTTTAGCCTGTCGAGGCCTATTAGTTAAACCTAACAAGCCAGTAGAAATATTCAAGTGCTCATGAAAAATGGGGGGGGGTGTG